TTGTTGATCTCCTAATATTCTAGCTTTTTGCCTCCTAACAAACAAGCTATGAGCTCACTCTGTTACAGGTGATCACTGTCGTGATAGCCCAATACATCATAGAGACATATAGATACCATAGCTGGTGTAACTAATGTTAAATCAATGACACTGTCTGTTTCCCCTGGGCAACTGACTAGTCTAGTATTCCTCTCATCATTGATACATAACAGTTCAGTGTTTATCAGGGCTTCTTCTAGTTCTTCACTCTGTGGGTTGGAGATGCTGTTTCCCTATTGTTTTCCTCTGTCATTAAAATCACCACAACAAAGAGGAGAGTATTCAAATCTCTAAGGGGTGATGTGAGCAACTTTTATGATGTGGAATGAATGAAATAAAATTAACTAAGCCTTAAAAATAGACCCAAAGAATAAACAGTATTATTGTTAATATATAATATAATAGTAGGAAGAAAACGGTTATTGAAATACAAATAATTATACATAAATGGTACTGATAAGAGATAGAATAAGCCAATAAAATGAAGTAAAATAAAATAAATAAAATGTGATAATGGTAAAACTGTTTAGATGAAGGTATGTTGGACATTGTTGCCACCTGGACTGAGCACACCTAGGCTGTAGATGAGGCTTGGTATGATCGCCAGAGAAAGATTTTAATGCTGTGACAGATATATCATCTTTACTTCTATGGTCAAAGCTGTCAAGTTTCTTCTTGTCAGTATCGGATAGGTGTTCCTGGAAACAATAGTTTCCTGCCAGTGTCCCCAATGTATGCCTTGTTGCATCGTTTGCAATTTATGGCATAAATTATGTTGTGGGTGCATGAGAGTCTCCTCTTTGTTACCGTTATATAGTTCATTATTTGTTCGAGAAAGGCCACCGGCCGAAACATTGTTTTGTGTTGTTTTCTGCATGTTTTTCTGCTTCTCCTCATTGTTACTGTGTGTAGTTTATTACTTGTTTAAGAAAAGCCGCTGTCCAAAACCTTGTTTTGTTCATGTTTTTCTGCCAATTCCTTGGTATTAGCTTGCCGCAGTCACCCCCATATTTTCACCATTTTTTGGGATTTAGCCAATATAAAATTCTGGTTAAATTCAATCCCAATCTTTGGTGTTTGAAACATCTTTGTCTTTATCCTGTGCATCTCTTTCGTTGTTTATTGCGCTCCATTTGAAATGACCACATATAAAATGTTTCAAAACATTGACATGATGAACTGCTTTGTATAACAGCTTAGATAGAATGCTTGTAAATGTCTCCAGTGGTAATTTTAATTGATTAAAATGTTTCAGATGGTTGCCGTGGAAACATTTTGGAGAGACTCACCTGTAGTTCTGATCTTTCTCCGTCGTTTTGGATGACAACTCTGTAGGCTGGGTGCCCAGCAGATAAGCCAGTTAAAACCTCGGCTTGATGCTAACAATGTAAAATTAGTTGGCATTGGCCTTGAGGAACTGGGTGTGGAAGAGTTTTTGAAAGGAGAATATTTTAAAGGAGGTTTGTACATCAGACTGAACAGACTTAGTAAATGCTCAAGAGTCAAATGGCTCATTATTTTTAATTAGTAACTGATTACATGAAAGGTTTATTGGCACAACAGAGAATTATTATAATACGAACCTGTAAAGATTTGTGAAAATTAACCTGCTATGATGCTGCAGTAAATGTGTCTCCATGCTCTGGATATCACCTTAAAGATAATTGGTGTATAGACAATGTTTTTAAGGTTACATAAGTTATGATTATGTATATGTTATCAGGTATTCTATTAGTTTAGTCTGTATGCATGGTTTAGATCCATTGATCATGGCAAATTTATATTCACTTTAAACTTATTATTAAATTAAACTTATTAAATCAATATGACTATTGAACTATAGCTTTATTTTACCTTACACTGAGATTTTTTCATGGCTGTTGAGTTTGTTTCATGTTTCTTCTACATTGCCAAAATGTCATTAGTGTTTAGGAGCCTGTCCTACTACTAGGCGCGTCCACCAGGTGGCAGATGGTGGAAAGTCCTCTAGATATAAAGGTTAGCCACAAATATATTGAATAAGTGGCTGTGGACCAAAACAGGTGATGGTCATTGAGAGGAGGCGAGTTAGTTAGTGGGACAGCTAACTGTATAAAATACCTCATGACATGGCCATCGGCGGGTAACAGGTGCCATAACCTCTCCCACCTGCTGCCTTGCAGGGTAAGTCTCTTTAGACAAAGGCTATTGGAGTCAAACCATAGACAAACCAGTGGAAGCCAAGGGGAAATCATGCCTCACAGACAACATCTCACTGGAAGAAATCGAAGCACTGGGAGAACTTTTAAATGATATTTATCTTCTTCTTCTTCTTTCGTTAGTCTGTAATAATTTGTCTATATCAGCAATTTTGTCTCTTGTATAAATTTCACTGTTGTTGTTAATTCATTCAGTGGTCCATAGAGTTTACGTTCCACTGTTGTTTTTTTCTGGCCAAAAGGTTTACCTTAATGTGTCAAATTCGGTGCAGTCCTGAAGTACATGCTCTGCTGTCTGGGGCACCTTTCCATAGGTGCACATACTTGATACGCCTATCTGGAATTTTGTGTACATGTGGTTACATAATCGGTTGTGCCCTGTTCTGAGGCGGAGGATAGTGACTTGTTCTGATCTGTCCATAATAAAATAGTCGTCTTGTGCTGGGGCTGGTGGTTTCCTGATTGATTTAATGATTCTTTTCTTTTGGTGGTATATGACTGGCACATCCGGCTGCACTTTTGTCGCACCTTAATCAGCTTTCTCATTTCCAGGCACTCCACAATGTGATGGTATCCACTGCATTACAACTCTTTGCTGAAGGCTAAGCTGTGTCAGCAGTGTTTGCAATTCTGGTAGTTTCCTAGACTGGAGTACTTCAAGTACTTATTTTGCATCTGTCAGCATTACCACATACTGTGAGCCAAGATTGGTATTTAGCAGTTTCTCTGTTGCTATCTTGATAGCCTGAGTTTCTGCATCATAGTTATGGCAGTACTTTCCGGTTGGTACGCTGGACTTATCCCTAGTACCTTCTGGGAATTCTATGAACACTCCAGCACCACCATTTCTAACTGCACTTTGTGCGGCCCATCTGTATAGATTCTGACCCATTGTTCTTGTGGGTATTCTTCATCAATATAACTGAGGGTGGCTATTCTGTGTTGTACACTATCTTGCTCTTTCTTGTCAAATATCCCTTTCACATTTGTCTGGATTTGTACCGTTAGTTTACATTTTTCTCTCCATGGGGGTTTGTTCCAGAATACTTTTAAGTGAGCAACCAATTTCTGGAAGGTCAGGAGTTTTTCTACATATTCTTTTTGCTTAATGTATAAAGCTGCTTCTTTTTAACCGTCCTAAGGCTAGGTTCTGAAATCTATTTTTCATGGGGTGCTCTGGCATACTGAGGAACTTTTCAGCTTGTATTTGCAACTTTGTATCTCTGCGTTCTCTCAGTGCCTGTGTTTTCCCAGCTTTCTCCATTTCTAATATGAAGGTTAATTTCATCCCTCCTGTGATGACTCTGAGTGCTTGATTTTGCACTTTGTCCAACTCCTTCAATGTGGTACTAGATGCTGAACACCATGCAGTTGACCCATACTCCAAGTGTATGTATGCTCTGCTTGTATACTTTATTGAGTATTTTCCCATTGGGCTCCCTATGTGGTTCCACTTAGTTTTCTTAGTGTGGCTGTCTTTCTCCAAATGGAGCAATGATGCGCAAGACAAGACTCTTAATGTCTATTAGCCTCTCTTGCTCAAGCCTACCTCACCTTCACGTGGTGGACCCTGTTCTTCCCAGCAATCCAGTTGAAGGTTAGGGTTTCAACACCCAGCGGGAAACTGGATGGGACAACAAATAAGGTAAAGTCGAAAGACAAAGGGATGAGCCTACTCTCCTCGAGTATAACCACTGTCTACCCTTGCAAAACAAGGTGCTGAAGTCGGAGGCAACCAGCCAGGAGGCGCACCACAGCAATCAGGATGCCACGCACACATGTCATGGAAATATGTCTAAATGATATTTATAATAGTGGGTATATTCCAAATGACCTTTTAAAATCCTAATTTATAGCTCTGCCAAAGAAACCAGGCACTTTAAAATGTGAAGACCATTGCACAATAAGTCTTTTAAGTCACATGACTAAGATTTTACTGAGAATAATTATGAGAAGAATAAGAAACAAAATTAAACCATAAATCAGTGATGAACAATGTGGATTTGTAGAAGGAAAAGGTACAAACAATGCCATTTACATCCTAAGGACGTTGTCAGAAAGAGCTATAGAAGTAAAGACTGATTTGTACTTATACTTCATAGACTATACAAAAGCATTTGACTGTGTGAAGCATGAAGAAGTAATCAAACTGTTAGAAAAGTTAAACATTGATGGAAAAGATCTTTGAATAATAAAGAATTTGTATTGGCAGCAAACAGCAGCTATAAGAATTAACAACTGTTAAGGTACATTTCAAAGCATAAATAGGGCATACGACAATGATGTACTATCACCTGATTTGTTTTCAATATACAGTAAATATAAAATGAGATCTTTAATTGATATGCCCGGAATTGTGGTTGGTGGGCACAATATAAACAATTTACGTTATGCTGATGACACAGTCTTGATAGCAAGAAGTCAACAAAATGGGGAAGCTGAAAAACGGGCACAAAACAACACAACGTAACGTTTCGACCGGGTGGCCTTTTTCAAACATAAGTGAACTACACAAACGTAACAACGAGGAGATGAGAGTATGTAGATCTCTAAGGGGTGAGGTGAGCAACGTTTAAAAAAATGTGGCGTGGAATAAATGAAATAGAATTAAAACAAACGATAGCTAAAAAATAGTCACAAAAAAATAATAAACTGTAGTATTGTTAAAATATAATATAATACTGGGAATAAAAGAAATACAAATGTTAATGATATGAATTCATGTCTACTCATTGTTTTTCTGCTGCAGATTTGTACATTGACATGAAGAAAGACTGCTACAAGAATCTTGGATTTAAGAGGTTATTAAAATGATGGGACAGATTTTGTGTGTGTGTGTGTGTGTTTAAAATACGTTTAATGTTTGAAAAAATGGTTGACAGTATTTCACAGATTTACAAAAGCAAAAATAATAAAATGGTAAAAATAATGATGATCTGGTACCTATATCACTATCATTTTTAAGAGAATAGAGTAAAGCAGGAGACATGAGGGGCCATTCATGATTCTTTGTTGGTGGTGTTGGTACCCTGTTATGATGGTGGTGATGATGATATAGTTACATTGTTTATACGTTTTTTACAGACTTTAGAAAAACAAATTAAGGGTGGTGTTAATGATGCATATTTAAACTGACCTCACATCTCACCAGCATTTGGCAGAAAAGGAGAAAGGGAGGAAGAAAATTACTGGGAATGGCAGGAGGAAAGGTGGAGGACCGTTCATTTTTTTTTGCTTGTAATCTGTGTGGTGATTTAAAAAAAATTCTTTTTAAATTATAATCGTTCCAGTTTCCGAGCTCCACTTTTTCAATTACATAATATGATATAATGCTATGTTACTAGGGCATCCTCTGGTCTGCCTATACTCGTTAACACTCTTCAATTAGAGATAGTCATTTCACAAGAATGTGTGACCTTTTCTACCACTGACTGTCTTTTGACGCCTGTCAGTCTGACAATCTCGATTAAAGGGCGACTCCTGCTGAAGTTAGACAGCCAACTGTTCACAAGTTTGCACGAACGATGAAAGTTTTATTGCTCTGCCAAACAAAGTTTACTTCACTGGTTCAAAGGTGTTAAATTCCCTTCAGATAAAGCCCGGCTTTAAACCTAAACTTGATTACCTAAAGAGGAGTATTGGAAATGATTCTTTGAATCGAATGCACATAGCGACTCAGTTTGATACTTCTTTTTAATTATTATTTTTTTTTATAAAACCAGTAATTGGAATAATACTTCAGCTACATATTTGTAATTTACATGACACAGTGATGTACAACAAAAGCATTCTTTTTACAGGACATAACACAGTGTATTCTGCAACAAAGGCATTCTTTTTACAGGACATGCATGTGTACAGAAACCTCATTCCACTTCTTTCCCTTTCCCTCTCTTTCTGCTTCCTCCTTCTCTCTCTTACTCTCTTGTCATTCGCTCAAAGAATCATTCTTATTTCATACATTGCTTTGAGATTCTTTAAAAGCAAAACATTTTCCTGCCTTGTTGTAGGCAGGGAACATTAAACAAATATAATAACATTACTGCAATATGTGTTTCAATATGTATTTGTAACTTTCCTAGGAGCACGACCTTATTGATCATTTTTGTAAATGCAAAAAAAGGCATTCTATTTACAGGACATGCACGCATACAGAAAAACATTCATACCACTTCTTTCCCTTCCCCTCTCTTTCTGTCTGCTTCCTCCCTCTCTCTCTATCTCTCTCTCTCTTTCTCTCTCTCTCTCTCTCTCGTACGCTCTCTCTCTCTCTCTGTCTGGCACTCTCTCTCTCTGTCTCGACATTCGCTCGAAGAATCATTCTTTTTTCATATACATTGCTTTGAGATTATTTAAAAGCAAAACATTTTTCCTGCCTTATTGATCACTTTAAAAAAAAAAAATTATTTAGTGGTTGAAAACAAGGTTTACAATTTTTCATATACATTTACACAAGCAAAAATAATAAAATGGTAAAAAATGATGATGGCCTGGTACTTATATTCCACCAACATTTCCAAGAGAGTAGAGTGAAGCAGGAGACAGAAATAGATAGCGGGTAGAGAAAGGAGGGGCCGTTCATGATTCTTTGTTGGTGGTGTTGGTACCCTGTTATGATGGTGGTGATAATGTTATGGTTACATCATTTATACATTTTTACAGACTTTAGAAAAATAAATTAATGGTTCTTTGATACATGCATAGATAGATACATACCTACATACTTACCACTTACTTACTTACTGTAAATCCCAAACCCTTTCTGTATTCTGTGTGTTCATTTAAAATAAACTGTTAACTCCTCCCAAACCATGACCAATACAGAAGTTCAATTTTCAATTGCCCTTACTTCCACAAAGTTTAATTTAACAGTCACAATGACGGCCAGTAATTTTTCTTAATTCATTGCGACAATCATTAAAAATAGACTCTCACTGAAGTTAATCCCTTTGAATATTTTTCCTCTTACATCTTTTACACTATAACTTTTTTAAGTGTTTTTTTTAAAAAGTGTCATTTTGGTTTTATTTCACTTGAAACATAGACTGTACATTAGGGATGTTAGAGGAGGCGGTTGTTTTATCAGTCAGATTTGGGGGACTGCCAACATCCCAAAATTAAACCCTGAGTAATGCCTCGAATCACTGCTCTATCATACCAAAGGGGCTCTAAGGTAGCATTAGTGCTGATTATGAGAAAAACTTGTGTAGGTCACTCCTACCACTCCACATCGGGCCGTGACTCAGGGACCAGCTTCTACACCCTGTAAAATGTATTTGCTACAGAAAATTCAGAGAGTCACCAGACATGCACTGAAGTGGGACATCGATGGGTTCAGGAAACGAGGGTGTCCAAGAGGAACTTAAAGATAGAAGGCTCATGTTACGCTCGCTCCTCCTTGGAGTTTCTACTACATGTACGACAGAATTAGTGACAGTGATGAGAATTAAACTTTCTTTTACTATCCTGGGCGAAGCCAGGCAATTAAATCTAGTATGTATGTATATATGTATGTGTGTATATGTATATGAAAGGAGTAAACTGTAAGACCATTTGAACAGGCTAGGTACAACATGCACAAGATAAAAAATGAAAATAAATGCTACTAAAACTGAAGTCATGCAGGTCAGTAGAATTTCTGGTCCACTACATGTAGGGTTGAATGGTGCTTGTCTGAAGCAAGCTAGGATTTTAAATATCTTGGAAGTATATTCTCAGAGGGTGGGGGAATAGATCTGAAAATCGAGACAGGATGCCAACCAGCCAGTATACTTATATACCAACTGACACTGTTATTAAGATATCCAAACATAAGAGTGAACACCAAAAAAAAAAAAAATATAAACACCATATCCATACCAACACTGTGCCACCAGTGCCAGACTTAGACATTATCAAAGGCTAAGTTAGTTGGGTGTCCTTTACAGGGCATTGCAGAACCAGCCCCATAATTTTTTGGCTGTTGTGGTTTTTCTAGGCAGATTTTACGTTCAATAGTTCGCTATTGCTTTCTGAAAGGTTAGCTTGGTACTACTGTCAAAACCAGTGCATGACTGCTGCCAAATGGCCCTTAGCGGGGATCAGACTCGGCACCCCGGCATTACGAAGTGCGCTTAAGCTACAGATACTGACTCAAGGGCTAGCCTATGAAAAATTAACACTGTGAAATGAGACGCCTGAGAAAAGTCGTCAACATAACCATCCAAGAAAAAATTAGAAATATTTTCAGACTGTATGAACAAAACCATGCAGTACATTCACTGATATATGTATATATAATTGTGCAAAAATAGTTATGGTTTTAGTGCACCATATTTGATTATATTTGAAAATACCTCAAAACTCTACGACATGGCCATCGGCGGGTAAGAGGCGTCATAACCTCTCCCCCCTGCTGCCTTTGCAGGGTAAGTCTCTTTAGACAAAGGCTATTGGAGTCAAACCATACACAAACCGGCGGAAGGCAAGGGGAAACCACCGCTGTACTATCCCTAGTTAATCATGCCTCAAAATAATACGACATGGCCATCGGCGGGTAAGAGGCGTCATAACCTCTCCCCCCTGCTGCCTTGCAGGGTAAGTCTCTTTAGACAAAGGCTATTGGAGTCAAACCATACAAAAACCGGAGGAAGGCAAGGGGAAACCACCGCTGTACTATCCCTAGTTAATCATGCCTCAAAATAATACGTATTCATATAACGACGTGAATGGAGATTCCGGTGGAATCACCTTGTCTGGTAGGGAGCATCATGTTCTACCGGTGATACCCGACCGTCATCCAGCTACTGTAGAAAAAGTAAATGGTAGAAACATCATGAACATTGGTACATGGAATGTCAGAACACTCGTACAAAACGGAAAGCTGGATAACATCAAGATGGAAATGAAGAGAATGAACATCAACATATTAGGAATTAGTGAAATGCGATGACCAGGAGCAGGGGAAAAGTATTCATATCAGCACATAATTATTTACTCGGTTGGGAAGGAATATAGTAAGGGAGTTGGTATTATTTTGGATCCAAAGAACTCAAAAACTGTGAAAGGATTTTGGACAATATCAGATAGAGTACTATTAGTTAAACTTCGTGGCAGACCGTTAGTACAGATTTATGCCCCAACAGCAGATAGTTCAGAGAAGGATATTGACGCATTTTATGACAAGTTAGACATGGCTGTTGATCAATGCAAAAATTGTGAAGTAACAATGGTACTTGGATATTTCAATGTGAAAGTAGGAAGTGAAAAAGTGTACGGAATAACGGGTGGCTATGGCCTAGGAGAAAAGAATGGGAGAGGTGACAGATTAATAGCATGGGCTGAGTCGCGCAGCCTGATAATAGGTAACACCTGGTTTAAACACCATCCTTGAAGATTGTGGACTTGGAAAAGTCCTGGTGATAATGTCCGCAATCAGATTGATTATATTTTGATTTCAAGAAGATTCCAGAGCAGCTTAGTTGGAGCAAAAACTAGACCAGGAGCAGACTGCTTTAGTGACCATGTTCCAGTTGTAGGAAAAATTAGAATAAAACTAAAGAACATTAGAAAAACACCACAGAACATCAAGTTAAATTTAGGAATTCTTAGAACGGATAAAGAAATTAAGGAACAGTACAGTGTCGCTGTACAAAACCGGTAAAATGCAATGGAAATTATACAGACTATTGATGAACAATGGGATATCTTGCGTGAGTCAATTCAGCAGACATCAAAAGAGACAATCCCACCAACCCATAGAGTTGCAAAAAAGAAATGGATGTCAACTGAAATTCTGCAGTTGATGGATGAAAGAAGGAAGAAAAAGAATGATAAAGAAGAATACTCTAAAATACAAAAAGAAATAGTGAACAAATGCAAAATGGCTAAAGAAGCCTGGCTGAATCAAATGTGTACAGAAATTGGAGACAATCACAGGAAAGACTCACATTCCATGTACCAACAGATAAATACATTAACAGGAAAGATGACACGTAACAGCACTGGATGTTTGAAATTAAAAGATGGTGACTTATTAATGGGACATGGTAATATAATTAACAGATGGACAGAGTATGTGGGGGAATTGTATGATGATAATAGACCAGATGTAGAGCTGCAGACCAACAATGATGGTCCACCAATAATGACTGCAGAAGTTGAGGATGCAATACATCATATGAAGAAAGGAAAAGCACATGGGCCAGACATCTTACTGGAAGAAATCAAAGCACTGGCAAATTTTGGAATTAAAATAATAAATAAACTTTTTAATGATATTTTATAATAGTGGGTATATTCCAAATGACCTTTTAAAATCTATATTTATAGCTCTGCCAAAGAAACCTGGTACTTTAAAATGTGAAGACCATCGCACAATAAGTCTTATGAGTCACATGACTAAGATTTTACTGAGAATAATTATGAGAAAAATAGGAAACAAAATTAAACCAGAAATCAGCAATGAACATTGTGATTTGCAGAAGGAAAAGGTACAAACAATGCCATATACATCCTAAGGACATTGTCAGAAAGAGCTATAGACGTAAAGACTGATTTGTACTTGTGCTTCATAGACTATACAAAAGCATTTGACTGTGTGAAGCATGAAGAAGTAATCAAACTTAGACAAATTAAACATTGATGGGAAAAGATCTACGAATAATAAAGAATATGTATTGGCAGCAAACAGCAGCTATAAGAATTAACAACTGTTTAGGTACATTTCAAAGCATAAAGAGGGGCGTACGACAAGGATGTGTACTTTCACCTGATTTGTTTTCAATATACAGTGAATATATAATGAGATCTTTAATTGATATGCCCGGAATTGTGGTTGGTGGGCACAATATAAACAATTTACATTATGCATGCTGATGACACAGTCTTGATAGCAACAAGTCAGAAAGAATTACAGGAAATGATAGACATTGTGGTGTTAGAAAGTGGAAGAATGGTCCTCAGTTTGAATAATGGGAAGACAGAAGTAATGGTGGTATCAAAGAAACAAATTATTCCTAAATGTGTAATAAAAGTCAATGGTGTTATTTTAGGACAAGTACAGAAATTTAAGTATCTGGGCACATGGATAATATCAGATGGAAGATGCATAACTGAAATAAGAAACAGAATTGGACAACCAAAAACTGCAATTTAAAAAATGAAAAACCTTTTGTGCAATATATCATTGTCATTGAGAGTTAGAAAAATAATTCTTGCTTGCTACATACATCCAGTTTTAACATATGGCTGTGAATCCTGGACAATCAGTAGGCAGGCCAAACAATTTTTAGAGGCCTCAGAGATGTGGTTTTACAGAAGAATGCTTAGAATACCTTGGACAGCCAAAAAGAGCAACCAAGAGGTTTTGAAAGAGGCAGAAGCCCGAAGACAACTTATCACAGACATCAGAAGGAGACAGTCATCATTTTTCGGCCATGTTATGAGAAGAGGGAAAAAAGAACTTGTTGTGATTACTGGAAAGATCTGTGGAAGGAGGGATAGAGGAAGACAACGAGAGAAGATGCTTGATAGTCTTGTTGCATGGCATGGCGGTGTGTCGGCACACGAACTGATACATGCTGCAGGAGATCGCAGATTATGGAGAGGCATGATCGCCCATGCCAGTCGGCTAGGCACCTGATGATAATGTTGATGTTTTGATTATGATAATAACATCTTCATCATTATCTTTACTTTTCTGTTTGGCTTATTGCAAATTCCAACTTCTGTTTTTCATCTGTTGAGTTCCTTTATATTTTTTCATGTTGAGAACATATACATTTTTTCAATCGAGATAATTCTCATGCTTTCCATTAATCTGGATTGATTCATGATTCTGACATTGAACACTGTGAAACACCCACCAAAGCAGTTGTTTTAGGGGTGCTTAAATTATTTTGGACCAGTTGCTTGCACTCATTCTGGAGTTTGATGCGTGTTCCATGATATATTTCATGCATGTTCCACAATATATCAAGCAAAGAATCAAGAATCCTAAAAAAGACATTTCCTAACTGATCTGCTTATTTCATCAGGATCTGGCCGCTTGCCAGTTTGAAAAAAATTGAGAAGCATTTGTTTTTGTTTTTTTTATACTAATTAAATGTAACATATTGAATTGGCCTGAGAATTCATCAGATTCAACAGCTCATTGAAAATGAATGGTCTGTAGTGGATTTCATGGCTGACTTCAACAGAACACTGTTTGAAAGTCAAGGGGGTTATATTATATATTGAAATTAAAATGTTATTAGTGAATTTATAATAACAGTGGGGAAAACGTTTTTTTTTAACAGGTTTTGTTTTCTAATTTGCTGAAGGTACTAACAAGCTGACAGTAAAACTAAAATTAGAATTAGACCTATAAATAGCTTAATTTTATTGAACAGATTAAGCCAGGTTTTAAAGAGAATTCTCTCATATTGGCCAAACTAAAAAACAATAAATAATTATACTAAACTCATAATATTAAGTTCAGAACAAAATAGTAATGTTACTACAATTTGTACATGTGTGAGCTCACCTCTTTTAAGACAGTTGGTATTGTAGAACTTTCAGCAAACAATGGAAACATGAGTGTCTATTTTAGAATTGACAAATAGTAGTTTTTTTCCCTACACAATTCAAAACATATTTTTAATCGTAATTTATGCTTTTAAAATATATTATTTGGTTGATACTTTCTTGCTGTTCATTTCATATACATAATAAATATGTAAACATTCTTTTTACCGTATAGACTTAATGTGTTTTCAATGGTCCCTGCCTTGTTTGGCAAGAAGACACGAGAGACAATATCTGAGGTTAGTGTTTAAATTTTACATTGTAAAATTGTATATATTTCAAACTAAACTTGATATATTATTGCATTTATGTATATATATATATATATATATATATATATATATATATATATATATATATATATATATATATATATATATATATATATATATATATATATATATATATATAAGCCAATAATTGCTGAACATACATATACAACAGTTTGTTAATTGGTCTTTAGCTGCAACCAAACTTTGTCTATATGTAAGATTATATCACAATCTGCAATTTTATTAACATATGCTTTTTTTTTCTGTTTGTTTATCTGCCAATTCCAGTTAGAAATATGTACATACTATAATTCCTGTAGACTTAACTGTATAAATCCAGGATTTTAAATAAATGTGTACAATTGTTTGCAAGTGTCTATCATCCTTATTTTACATCTTTATAAATTAAAATGCATACTGTATTACTATTTTCCTTTGTGAAAGTTAACATTAAAATATTATTTCATAGTTGTGACACATATTAGTTAGTTAGTTAGTCTTTCCTCTTGTGTCGAGTGCGGCACATAGGGCAGAGGTCATGACTCTCCATGCATGGCGGTTCGTTGCAATCTGTTGTAGGTCTTGGATGTTTGAGTGGTCCATGAGCGAGCCTTCCCTGATGATAGTTCTACGTAGGGTTTCCCTTGGTCTTCCACGAGATCTTTTCCACTGTGGTGTCCAAATGAGGGCTTGTGATACATATGGGCTGTTAGTTTTTAATTTTGCAATCTTTTCTGTCAGTAAATAATCTATATTTTTATTTCATGAATTCCTTTCCAAAAGAAGACTTCAATCTAACACTTTGTCAGTTACTTGAGCAGTCAATTACTTAATATCACTCAGATTTTCTTTATGAAGATTACCTTATTTTCCAATTAGTTTAATTGATAATTTTTTTAAATGTAAATTGTATTTATTAATATAAAAGTGATATTTTGTGCTATAATTGCGTTGAAAGTCATGAACACTTTTTTAAAATTTATTGACTATCACAAATTCTTGCAACACACAAGTGATATACCTTTAGGATGCACTTTAAACCATGCTTGCAGCAGTAGTAGCTTTGACACTAGATAACAGGCTGATGGCAAGTGATACTGACCAGGCACTGGATTCCCATTTACTCTACATTATGCAGATACAATATCCTAGAACATCATGGCAGTTACACTATCCCTGCAGATTTTTGAAAGAAGGCAGAAGTTAAAAGTTCAGTTTTAAAAGCAGTAGGGAGAACACAGAAGTCAGAACTTGCAGGAAGAAAAACACTGTGTGGAATATTTAGGTAGAAATAGTGAGTTGAGTTGAGAATTGATATCACAGCACTCATGGCGTTCCCATATGTGCTCTGTCCCCATCCTCAGCAGCCACCGCAGAGTTCCAATACTAATGGTGCCAGTTGTAGTCTGGTTGTATGTCCGTCTTACCTTTCCTCTGAGCGTAGTGTGCCGTCTGAACCATCTAGTCACACCCAGGTGCATCATTCTCTCCAGCCTATAATAATCTAGTTTTTCTTCTGCCTTTGTTTCTGACTTGGTTACTTGTTCTCAGAGGGCTCTGACCACAGCTTTCACTCATCAATTCACCACCCAGCAGTGCAGGTCCAGCCAGTCTGCCTGCCTCTTTGTTCTTTACGATGCCGGCTAAGATCCAAAGTATGCTCACTACCCATGACCTTGAAAGTTAAGCTTGCCACTCTGCTCAAAGCAATCCTGCCTTCACCTTTTGCAGCATGCTTTCCGTTACAATTATGACATGTGTATGTATCTTGTTCTCTAGCCACTGGCAATCTGCAATGACTGCCTCTATCTCCATTCTCATGCTAGATGTTGTGGTATCCTGAACTAAAGATTTTCCATTGGCTTTCACAGTGAAACCCCAGGCACTTCTCTTCCCTCTCAATACAGAACCATTTGTTTAGATAATCAGATCATCAGGACGAGAAATGTCATGAATCAACTGTTGAACTTTCACCTTAGTTACCCCCGCTGGCCACTCTCTGCACTCCTGGCCCAATGTGATCATGACCCTACATAGGTCAGACTTTTCCTCTGGTACTCTGACATACTCCTCTCCTCGCCCAATGTTTTTCAGCCTCTGACTCTTAACTGCATCCAAAGCTTCATATAGGGGGTGCTCTTTATCTGCAGCTACTCTGAGGTATGACTTAGCCTGCAGCACTTTTAGCTTATCTGCAACAGTCAGCAATGCAAGGATGTATCACATGCACACAATCGGGGTGTCTCTTGAACATTCCAGGATCAGCTGCATAGCTTCATTCTGTATGCTCTATCTCTAGCACACTCTTCAAGACAGTGAGCAAACCCAATCCATAATCAGTCACTGAGATGATTAAGTGCTGGTGTAGTGTGAACTGCATTCATTGCTCCATGTCCATTGCTGCCATAATCTTAGTGCATTTAAGACCTTTTGGGGCCTTTGACACAACCACCTCCATGTGATCCTTGAAAAACAAGCTTTTGTCAAAGGTGATTCCCAGATACCTCAGTCTGCTGTCTCTCTTGATGCCCCTGCCATTTACTTTGAGGCTTGGAACATCATCATTAACAATCATATTGTTCAAAGAACACCACAGAATAGTTGCCTTTTCTGAGTTGATTACAGCACTCATTCATGTACACCAGTCAATCACCTTATCTACTGTCGTCTGTAACTCTTGAGCAATTTGATTCCCATCTCTCCCCTGCCTATATATAAGAATATCATCTGCGAATGTCAGTATTCTACCAACTCCAGGTGTTTCCAGTTCCGCAATCCTGCTAGTAAACACACTGAACAGCACAGGGGAAATGCAGTTCCCTGTGGTAGTCCCAGGGCTATAATTAAATACATGGTTCGGAGGTCCATGAACCTAGGCGGTGAGCTACCCGGCGAGAATACAAAGCAGCTGCTATCCAGTTCACCAACCAAGGACAGAATCCCTTCTCTATAAGCGCTGTCATCAAGATATTATATCTGAATCTGTTGTAGGCATCTTCTAAATCATGTGCCAGCCTGTTTTGCAAACCTTTGAAGGCGTTAAAGGCAAAAGTGGCTGCATTTGACCATGTATCCTTCCCTGGCCGGTAACTTCCCAAACCTCCTGGAAGGAGCTTTCTCTGTTTAAAAAATTCTTGTAGCTTACTCGCCACTATCTTCTCCAGCATTTTTCCAAAAGTGTTTTGTAAGGTTATGATCCTAAAGCCGCTGAGTGTTAAATGATCCTTGCCAGGTTTAGGAAGTGGAATCAGGTAGCTGTGCATCCACCTCTTGTAGAAATGAAGCTGTCCTAATGTTCTGGCTGAAACAGGTGACTGCCAACAAGTCGCATAACTCATGTCCCTCATATGAAATATCTGACCCTGTCAGGCCTAGGTGCAGTATCTTTCACCCTTTTCAGAGCACGTTTTATATTTTACACCTGTATTATGTCTTCAAAATGATTATTTTTTGTGGCCGCTGACAGATCTTCTCTAACTGCATCTCTGTTGTCTCCATCATTGTGGTCTGTCTGTGAAATAAACCTCTTCAGGAAGGCCTCACCCTTCTTTTTGTCTATGGTCAAAAGCAAGCCGTCAGTCGTCGCTATGAATTGTTCCCACTAAGCTGGCATATCTTTCTTGAGCATCTGTCTGTGTAGCTTCCAAAATTTCCCCAAAGTCTTATCGCCCCCAATTTTATTAATCAAATGTTCCAATTTTGCTTTTTTGGCCTTTGCTGCATAGCGCTTGAAAAGCTCTATCCTATCTTTCTTATTTTTTTTCTCGCACTCCAATTCCTCCTACATGCTTAGGGTTGTTTGTCGCACTTTCTTTAATTGCTTTACTGTAGCTCTCTTTAACTACCATGCCTGTTCTACCTCTGATGTCCACAATAGAGGTTGCACAAAAGTAGATCTGCTATTCCTCTTCTATGCCCTCTGTCAGAGGTGTCCAAGAAGGGTGTTTGTCTGCTCATACTTGAAAGACCTACAAGCTCTTGAAGCCTTGGCTTTCCTGGATTTCAAGATCAATACCGAACATGGCAGATGATCACTTCCTTGATCGCCCAGAACAGTCCATTTGGTATCCAGTACTGCTGATTGGGTAACAAACGCCGGGTCAAAAGCCGTGTCTGCATCGCCGGGCCTTATTGCCATTCTAGTTTGCCTCCAATCATGTATGCAGACAAAATTTGAATCGATCATGGCGTCAGCAAGGGCAACTCATCATTTTTCTCCATTACTGTCCCATTCATTGTTCCATGCATTGTAATTCCCATAAATGAGGAACCTGTTGCCAGGGATCACCTCTAGGTATATAAGTGTAATATGCTCTTCTAGGGGTATGTGTTCATTTGCATTGCTTTCAGACGAACAGTGAGTTGAAACGACACAGCATGAACGAATATTGATTTGCTTGCTTTTATTCGTTGAATCGCCAGTTATCGCATACATACATTCTTGCTTTCTCGTGCTCGTCTTGCTTGGCTGAATCTAGCGACCTGGTCGGGCTTCTCACACACTACAGGAATTCATCAGCGTCTCTCGAACCATCCATCTATCCTTCACGAACCCTGGTACCTGACATTACAACGTGTGGAAAAAACATTCAGTCCTCCTATTGACATATAACACTCGCTTCACAAATCATTTGTTCTTTTCAGGCGTCCACTCATGCGTCCTCTCTCAGTCAGGGCCGAACTTCAACTGTCTTACTTCTGTCTCTCGGTTCACGTCTTCCGTTCACATCTCATGCTTTTCTTGTGTCCCTCACTTCGTTCACCATGAGACACACGAGACCCACTTATCCCGTTTTTCTCTTCTCTCACGGGTCCTCCGACCTTTTCCTCCCCATCGGGAACTCTCTGGGATTTCCCCGGGAATTCACAACATTACAATCTCCCCCTCCCTTCTAGTTAAAAAAAAAATTTTACCTTAATTTTTTTTTCTATTACTTTATATTTAGGTTATAATTTTAAAGGTTTGG